CATTACCGGTGAGTGTTGCTGAGACCACAACTATGAAAGGTAGCTGGAGAGGTTTAAAGGTAGTGTGCCAGCTTTTCTGGACCGTATGGAGTTAATGGCCCAGATAAGGAGAACCGGATTTTTAGAACTTATCCATACCTTCAAAACTCATGGAAACGTCTTAAATTCTTCAAATTTTGAGTACCCCAGTGCGAAATTCGCCCCGACGGGTTGTCGGTCGTACCCCAACCACATTTCACACCACTACGAACATTAAATGCACACACTGAAATCGCTATTACCGATATGCTCATCCAATCAAGTTTCGATAAACCCGTTCATCATCATCTCCTGCGGTTTCGAACACGCCTGTTAGGTGGTGCGGTAGACCGCGCCCAAAGCCAGGGCCCCGTTAACGTGAGGTATAGCCGAGTCGAGGCAGCGTGCGCTGACCCAAGCCGGGGCCGCGCGTCCTCCCGGTGTCATGTGATAGCCCGGGGCTGCCCGCGGGGATGCGGTAGACCGCGCCCAAAGCTGCGGCCCCGGCTTGGGTCAGCGCACGCTGCCCCGACTCGGCTACCTCACGTTACCGGGGCCCTGGCTTTGGGCGCGGCTTCTGCTCATACTTTGTGGTGCGGTGGTGGTGCGTCGGGCCGCGCGCTCTGACTTCGGCCAAGAAAAATGCGTCAGCTGATCATTGTCATTTCTGCGACTTGCGTGTGGTGAAATGGGGTCATAACTTAAGAGACGGCTTTTTCATATCAATTATTTTACATAAAATCATATTTCAAACCATGAATAATGTTCGACAGCCAAATAAAAGAAACAATACCAATACAGGCTTACAGTTTAAGGCTCGACATTGTGTTGTCTACGATTAGACAGCTGATAACTCATTCCCGTACGTCGTAACTCTATAATGACCTTCGCTTATTGTCACATGTGCGCCGCATTCGCGATTGTTGCCGACGCCTGTTTGCAGGTCAGCCCACTACAGTTGTTATACATATCGAAAAACCGATAAACTTTTAGGCGAAAAAGGCACTATTCCAGGCCCATTTTTGATTTTTTTTTTGCGATATTAGGTAAAAACAGAAGCTTCTTATCCTAGGAAAAATAAAATGGGAAATCTTTCAAAGGTGGCACACTACCTTTAACTTTGAAGATATAGTGAAGTAGGCCCGGTCATTAATTGTTTTACCTCGTAACAAAAACGCTCAGCGTAATCTAACATCATATGCGAAGACTTTTGCGCCAGTGTCGACTTTTGACCTTTGGCCCGAGTTTTCCGACATTTAGCGTGACTTGCCCTGTAGAAGAGAGAGAGCGTGGCCTTTATCTGATTTACGAGAGTATGTCCGAACAATGTCTAGATAAGGTTAATATTGGCTCTCGAAGAATATGGGTCGCTCCTTTCTAGCTTTCAGGAGGGCGAGTGGCGACCTCAGTGGGGATATTTCGAATTATTTAAACGACTCTCCACCATATCACCTCGTTGCGAGATTCTGAATTTACACAAATTCTAGTGTTGATCGGAAGCGTTTGAAACTCGCGTGTGTGGTGGGTGCGTGACCTCAGTGAGGCTGGCAGCCACTTGAAAACTGATCCACACACTTCGGCTTTCCCGTTTACACGCGTCAAGGTCACTCGTGAAACGCTTGAACTCGATAACTATTGACCACGATAACTCGTGAAAAGGCTTCAGTGTAATCTCGGTAATACTCGCAGAGCCACGATGACGATTGACTATCGATGACCGATTACTATCTGTGGAGGTCAAAAGGTGCCTCGGGGGTGAGTGGGGCGCGTCTCGAGCGGCGGGAACTCCTCCTCGACTGGCGGTTATCGGTCTCCGTGCACCGGTCTGAGACGGACTGAAGTGGGGATTCACGGCCACCGACAGCACCCGTGGGGAATATGATCGCTCATGTCTGACTCGTCAGTCTTATGAGCTGGTGGCCGTATGGGTAAAATGAGATGTTTTTTGGTAGGCAATAGGCATATGCGAATGCGATGTCCAGCATTTTGTTGCTTTATTAAGAAATCATGAAATTAATACGTATTCATTAAAAATGGTAAATTATAATTTTATCGTAGTATAGCGTGTCTCGTAACAACCACTCCATTTTCGCTGCAAGCAGCATGAGTTAGCTTCTGCGACCGACGTGCTTTGTATGTATGTATGTATGTATGTATGTATTGACGATCAAGAGCAATCCACAATCGGCGTGGCGATTACACTCCGAGTCCGAGCTGGTTGAAGATAACACGAGAAATAGGTACCTACACAAGAAAACGCACACACTTACGGATACGAAATCCACAACGCGAACGCCGAACACGCACATACTTGGTGTAACCCGCACGAAGCCGCGTTCATAACTATGTACACACAGACTCGTTTGCCTTTCATAGTCCAAGAGTCATGAGGCTAACTACTATGGCTACTCTGGCTAGGCTTAAGCCCCTTTTTACAGCACGGGCAAATCTGGCTGGAGGCAACTGCGTTAGCTCGAGGGGGAGAGTATTTAGGAGCGCCGCGGCAAGGTAGGCGAATCTACGTTTTCCGGTCTCTAGTCGGGGTCGCGGTAAGTGGAAAAGGTGGTCTTGGCGAGTAGACCTTGCTCGTGTTTGGGAATTTTTGGAAAATAGGGTCGCGATCTCCTCGGGTTCACCTCTCTGGATGGCCTTGTGCGCCGTGATAAGGGTATGGTATTCAGCCATTGTTTTAGGTGCCATCCAGCCGAGTTGGTCCCGGAGATGGGAGACATGATCAAATTTACGGCGACCGAAAATGACTCTAGCGGCAAAGTTAAGAATTTTCTGAATGCGATCGAAGTTCTTTTGGCTACCATTACCAAATACGGAGAGACAGTACTGGATCTGTGACATGACGAGAGCCACCACTAGTGTCTTGGTGACACCGTCGGGGAGATAGTGGCGGACATGGGAGAGGCCAATTAGGAGACCCGTGCATCGGCGACTGAGCTCGGACACATGCGCGTCCCAGGACAGGGTGCCGTCGAAGATAACGCCCAGGTTGCCCACCTGCTTGCATGGCACTAGTTTGGTGTCGCGAAAAGAAACGGCGAAAGCGGGTATGCTTCTCAAATTTTGCCGACTGCCGAAAACCATGAGCTGAGTTTTAGCAGTGTTTACTTTAAGAGCATTTGCACTGAACCAATGGTCGAGAGACGCCAGTGACGCTTCCAAGCGCGAGATGAGTCCCCTAAGGTCGTTTAAAGGGCCACTCACCAACAATTGAGTGTCATCAGCGTACTGGAAGACTGCTGCATCCTCAGAATAAAGTGATAGATCATTGGAAAATACCGTGAAGAGTAAGGGACCGAGTGCCGAGCCTTGAAAGACGCCCATAGAGTTGGGGAGAGGTTGTGATAATACCCGGCGACCGGACTCGTCCTGCAATGACACACTCTGTGTGTGACCCTGGAGATAAGCGGCGAACCAGGATGTCTCTATGCCGTGCATTGCCAATTTAGCGAGTAATAACTCATGGTTGATGACATCAAAACATTTGCTTAAATCAATAATGCATAGCATAGAGACATCCCCCCTATCGGTGGCGGCCAGGATTTGGTCACTGACGGACAGAAGTGCTGTCTCAGTTAAGTGCCGGGGTCGGAAACCGTGCTGGGTATTGGCCACAAGATGGTTTTGGGAGAGATAGTGATAGAGCTGTTTGTGAATGACTCGCTCGACCACCTTCATAATGACAGGTACTAAGGAGATAGGTCGAAAATTAGTGGGATCAGATGGGTTTCCAGACTTGAAGATGGGGTGAACTATAGAGTGTTTCCAATGAAAGGGGATATCGGACCTTGAGATGCAAGTGTTAATGATGTGAAGGATAACGTCACCGATAGATGGGAAAGCAGTTTTCAGCATGCGAATGCAGACGCCATCAGACGCACAGGCGGCAGAATTGCGCATATTGAAAACGGTGTGACCGAGTTCACCGAGAGAGATAGGTCTGGGCTTAAATCTACCGGTTACAACACGCGGCAAACGGCCAATTTGCTCAACAACTGGATTTTGGTCACGGATCTCTGTAGCGACGCGGGGACCCACAGAAACGAAAAAAGAATTTAAAACGTCAGCCGATACATCAGGTTGAACACTAGGTCCGTCTTTCTTACCAGCCACAACCGACCTAATACTTTTCCACACCTTGTTGGGACCCCGCCCACTAATCTCTCTGTGAAGTTCGCCGCGTCGGTCTCGTCGCACTGCGGCCCGGACAGTTCGGTTTAAGTCTTTGTAAACCTCCGACTTTCTACCGAACTGCTGTAACGCGGTACGACGTTGATCCATGATTTTAAGTGTGGCGGGGGTAACTGGTGGTGCTGTAGGATTACGGATGGTAATATTCTTTATAGGTGCGTGATCGTCAAAAATCGGCAGAAATTCGGCCAGGAAAGCATCCCACTGGTCACTTACGTTCGTGGCACTAAACACGCCCTCCCAATCGGCAAACATCAGGTCAGAGTTCAGGGCATCGACATCTATGCGGTTGATCGAGCGGGATTGAACAACTGTAGGATTTTTGCGTTGTTTCGGAACGTTAATAGACACACGAAGGAGTTTGTGTGGGCTGAAGTGGCAAAAGGATGCAGAGCAATCACGCACAAGCTCTCTATTTTTAACCATACAGACGTCTAGCAACGAGCCGGAAGTGTACGTTGGAACGGTTACAAGCTGCTCAAGAGAATAATTCGATAAAAAGTCACTGAGGTGTACACGCGCACGAAAACTCTCCTCCTTCAACATATCACAGTTTAAATCGCCACAGATCATGAATGGAATCTTGGGAAAATCAATTAATACACGCTTTGTGATCACCTCTTGGAAATGGAACCGACTAGGCTTTAACTAACACAACTCCTATTGCCGAGCGATTCACCAAACGTATTACCCTTGTACCAAAGCAACCTACCCACTCACCCACTCATGCATGTCGCATCAAATCACTAGCTACCCAAAATAACTTTACTAATACCTACCCAGCCATGATGGTGGCCATGTTGGCGACGAAGTACTCGGGCGCGTTGAAGCCCATGATGGCCACGCCGTCGAAGGGCTGCAGTCCGAGCTGGATGAAGGCCTTGGCGGCGGTGCGCACCTGCTGGTGGTACTCGGCGAACGAGGTGCTCTGCCACACGCCGTTCCGCTTCACGTTCATAGCGCTCCGCTCTGGCCATCTGCAGCGGCGGAGACGGGTTTTTACCATTGACGATAATTTTACATAAAGCTGACGTAGTAACACAACTTTACATGAGGCTTTATCAGATATTATTTACTTACGAATTACAAGGCACAATGCTTAGTGTTTAACTCCAGTTGCAATCTGTGTTAAGTTCCATGTTATCGCGTTCATTTTTCATATCGCAACTGTTCCCCGCGTGTGTGTAGCCGCCCGGCCGCGGCCCGCCGGCGCGCCGGCGGGCCGTGCGGCACAGTATGTTTGCGGGCGCGCGGCCGGCGCGGTGCCCTGGCGTGCGGTAATTGGCGGTCGCTCGAATGTCACGTGACCCGCGGTGACCTCCAGTCTGTCCGTGTCTCTCGTACTCACTCGTGTCTCAGCATTCGTCTGGACCGGGTCGGTCTCAATGCGCGCTAGCCTCTGGAGTGGCACTGCACGGCTCTCCTGGCTGTAGCGCTTGTGGCCGCCGAGTGTAGGAAACGGACTTGGCGGTCCTTTCCTGAGCCTCACTCGGACAAAATTAACGCCTAACCCTCTTTGGTATCCAAATCCTGACGGGGCATTATATGATACAGATCAGACGTGTGTCTTTGATACCGTTCACGATGTATCATTAATGCACCCTTTACCTGATACAAGTATAATGTAATCGTGCCTGTCGTTACTGTGCACGTTTCACGGCGAATTTAGAGGGGCTGTCCGTAAGCCCCTCCTTGGATGTACGAGAAAAAGCAATGAGCTGTACTTGATTTGTGCCTTATCATTACTGTGCCTGGTCGTTAAATGATACGGTGACTACCTCTCAACCTGTTGGTGACGAAGCTGTTGCACCCCAATACAGCACTGAGGTCAATTATATTTCTGTTCTGTTTATACCGGCGCAAAGAACGGACGGATTCTTAACATAGTCCACCGGGGCCGGATCGTCTTTTCGGTTTCAAAATTTGTACCTTGTTAATCGGACAGACGTTGATACTCTTGTTTGATACAGTCCACTTTTACCCCTCTTGTTAAAATCCGTTTAGTTCAACATGGATGATTTATTGAGCACAAGAACGAGGCTTCGTTCAAAGGCAACCAAACAGTGTAACGACCTCAGGTCATGCCGGGAGGGGGATCAAAAGGCACTTGATGTGGATCAGCTGGCTCTCAAGCTCCATCACTTGGAGAAGCTGCAGCACGAGCTTCAGCAGGTCCAGGACCAGCTCGACAAGCTTGGTCAGCCTGACGATTCCAGTCACAGCCAAAACATGGAGGATGAGATGTTCCTCGGCTCCAGGCTACTCACCCGGCTTGAGAAAGCTGGTGACACTGTTCAAAGGGTCGACTCCCAAAACCCGACAGGAAATGCAGACCTCAAAGCATCAGTCGCAGTCAAGATTCCCATTTATCATGGCGACGTGATGAAATGGTCCGAGTTTTGGGAACTCTTCACAATTTCCGTTCACGACAACCCAGTCTACGCTGACGTGCAAAGGTTTGTCGTTCTAAAGTCGCACTTGGCCGGCGCGGCGCTGCGCACAATCCAAGGGATTCCGGTGTCGGGTGAAGGCTACGCTGAAGCCGTAGCAGTCCTCAAAGAGCGCTTTGACCACAGCGAGGTGCGGCGAGAGCTTCTGATGCGCGAGCTCTTGAGCATGCCCTCTGTCCGCCACAATGACCTACGAGGCATGCGAACCTTGGTTGATCACCTGTCTTCTCACACGCGCGCTCTAAACACCCTCGGTGTGCCCGCCGAGAGCTTCTCGAGCCTCCTCCTACCAGTCGTGAAAGACAAAATTCCGGAAGACTGGCGGCTGGAATGGGCTCGGCTGGAGAGCGCGGACTTTGACGTTTTCCTTAAATTTCTCAATCGAGAGTTACGGATCCGCGAGGCAGCCAAGGGAGTTTCTGCGTCTGTCGCAAACGCAGAAGCACCGCCTTCGGCGCCGTCTGTCACCAGCATTATGACGGCACGGCTTGAGCCTCGGAGGGAGCGGTCACAGCCATCTCAAAGGCCAAGGAAGACGGCTTGTAGCGCGTGTGGACAAGGTCATCATTCGCTTGCCCAGTGTGTGACATTTCGTGGCATGACTGTACAGAGCAGATGGTCACTCGCGAGAAACTCGAAGGTATGTTTCCGCTGTCTCCGTCCTGGTCATCGAGCCCGTGATTGCAAAGAGGGATCATGTGTGGAGTGCAGCAGGCCCCATCACGTCCTGCTGCACCATTCGGGACCCTCGTCAGGGGGTCACTCGGCGGTCCCAACGTCCAAACTGTCGCCGGATGCGGCCAGCTTCTCGACGGCACAGCCCCCTCAAGAGGCGGGTATGAGTGCCGCAGAAGTAGATGCCCAGCGACAGTGCCATCGTCGTTTCAACGCCCAGAGAGCTGACGGAATCCGAAGCTTCTTCCAGACGGCTCTGGTTGAGGCTGTGGGCCCGAATGGTCGGCGCCGGGCCCGTGTCTTGCTGGACGGAGGCTCCGACTCCTCCTATATCCGTGGCGCTCTGGCAGAAGAACTTGGGCTACCTGTTGTCGGCTCGGGAACCTTCTCCTGCATTGGCTTCCAGGAGAAAACTGAACAGGCACGCCAATATCGCAAAGTCCGAGTCGAGCTTCAGAGCCGTTTTGACGGCAGCTCTGTGCACCTGGACATGTGGAGCACAGATCGTCTATGCTCACCCCTTCCGGCCACACCACCTCCCCAGATGCCCTCCCGATTGGAGATGGCGGACGACTTTGGGGGAGGTGAGATCGATCTCCTAATCGGCGTTGATAGTATATATCACGTCGTGTTGTGGGAGCAAGTGGACCTCGGCGAGGGACTTCGAGCTGTTGAGACAGTCTTCGGATATGTTCTGCATGGGAAGCAGAGCGGAGTCCTGTCACACGATCAGCCACGTCATCAGACGTTCCACTGTCGCCAAGTGGAAGCGATGTGGGACTTGGACACGATTGGGATCAGTGAGCATGAGGTGGTAGACTCAAACCACAGGCTCTACCCCAAGCCTACATGGAACGAAGCTGAGCAGCGCTATGAGATGGGTTTGGTATGGCGCTCCGAGGATAGGCCCGTCTCCAACAGAGGTCCTACGCTGGCTCGAACGCTTCGAATGTCGGATCGCCTCAGCAAAGAGAAAGCCGTCATGTACGACGCACAAATCAAAGGCATGCTGGCTGATGGTGTGGTTGAACTCTCCGACTCAACCGGGTCCCAACTTCGGGCTTCGCCTCAGCTGGCAAGTCCTCCGACGATCTCTGTGACGGACTCACGAGGGGCCTCCTGCAAGACAGGGCCGAGTGTCGAGCGAGACCGAAGTCTGTCGACTTGGTCGCCCGACTGTGAGGCCTTTTACCTCCCTCATCATGGAGTCTTTCGCAATGGGAAACTCAGGGTGGTCTTCGATGGATCAGCAAAAGATGGATCGGGCCGAAGCCTCAATGAGTATCTGGAGCCAGGAGAAAACCTTCTCCGGAAGTTGTCCTCCGTGGTACTGAACTTCCGGTGCGGAGAGACCGGATGTCAGGCTGACGTACGGGCGGCCTTTCACCAGGTTGTTGTGAGCCGGGAGGACCGGAGATACCTGCAGTTCTTCTGGTCAGAAACATGCATGAGGTTCTCCCGTGTGCCCTTCGGTCTGACATGCTCTCCGTTCATGTTGCTGAGAACCGTGGACGTCCATTTGAGCAAGTATACCAGAAGTGACGAAAGCCTCTGTCGTCTGATCCGACGCGGATGCTACATGGACGATATCTGCTTGCACTTCAAAGATCGAAACGAAGCCGAGAAGGAACTGCTCAGAACCAAGCAGATATTCGCTGAGGCTGGTATGACGCTCCACAAAATACGGATCACTGGCGACCAGGCACCTGAGACACCAGTTCTCGGTATGAGCTGGAACACCGAGTCAGACACATTGGCTGTGGTGGTGCCTGAGTTCCCATGTCCTTCAACCAAGAGAGAGCTGCTGTCTGCGGTGGCCAAGCCATTTGATCCTCTGGGAATCTTGACACCATGGCTGATCGGCGGGAAGGTGCTCTTCCAAAGAACCTGGAGAGACATGCCAAAGGCAGATTGGAATGACCCCCTCACTACGGCCATCCTGGCGGCCATCGAGCTATGGTGGAAGGACACTTCGGGCAGCAGGGTCACCATTCCTCGGCGACCTTTGTCAAGCAAAGACTATTGTTCAAATGCAGGCTTCCACGTATTCTGCGACGCATCCGACCGCGCGTACTGTGCCGCTATCTACGCCGTCTGTGAAGGAGAGTCGGGTCTAGTGATGGCCAAAAGCCGGCTAGCTCCCATGAACCCGAACTTGACGATCCCAAGATTGGAGCTCATGGCTGCCTTGTGTGGAGCTCGCCTGATGGCCTTCGTGAAGGATTCATTGAAGCTTCAGAATCCGTCGGTAACCTTCTGGACCGACTCCACAGATGTCCTCTTCTGGATACGAAACACAAAACCTAGAAAGGTTTTCGTCCAAAACAGAGTCTCGTCAATACTGCAGTTGACGAAACGAGATCAGTGGCATCACGTGAGGGGCACTGCGAACCCCGCAGATCTCGGCACTCGCGGGCTGTCCCTCAAAGCAACAAGAACGTGTGAGCGATGGTGGAGCGGACCTTCCTTCTTGCGGGAAGCGGTGTGTCCCCCTGAATTGGACGAACCACTTGAACTCTCTCCTGAGGGTGAGGTCGAGGAGAAGCCTGAGAGCGGCTCTTCTGGCGCTGCTCCAGCCAGAGTCACGTTGAAGGTCCAACGAGTAGAGGATCGTCTCTTCGACCTGACTAGCTGCTCCTCGCTTAAACAGGCTGTGACGAGGACTGCCTGGATCTTTCGCTTTGCCATGAACACTCGTCAGGACAAGTCCAGCAGACAATCTGGACCGCTCACCTCGGAGGAGCGTCGTCACGCTCTTCAATTTTGGATCAAGGAGGCACAAGCCAGAGCATATGAAGCAGAGCTAACCGCTCTGAGATCTGAAACGATGCTGCCAAAGGACTCTCCCATTCTGAAGCTGAGGCCCAGGCTCGACGACGACGGGGTACTATGCGCGGTACCACGAACAAACGAGCCTCCTCTGCCCATTCTTCCAGAGTTCGCCTTCATTACCACTCTGCTGATAGACGAGGCACACCAAAGGTGCTTTCATCAGGGCACGCGTGCTACATTGGCCCTTCTGTCAGCGGAGTATCTGATCCGTAGACGAAGTGTACTCCGCGTTGTGAACACATGTCGACGTTGCAGAAGATATCGTGGTCAAAGCTACCGGTCCGCTGATGGAGGACTGCCAGCGTTCAGAGTCGAACCCAGCCGTGCTTTTGCCAAAGTCGGCTTAGACTTTTTTGGACCTCTGGTGACCAAAGCTGGCAGGAAGGTCTGGGTGCTTCTCATCACGTGTGCTACATCCAGAGCAGTCCATCTCGAGCTTGTGAGATCACAGCAAACTGAAGAAGTGAAACTGGCGCTTAGGCGCTTCTTCGCCCTTCGTGGAACACCAACGCTTATGTTCAGCGACAACGCAAAAACATTTCATACTTTACTGAGCCACACACCCCGATCAGTCTCATGGCGATTCATCCCTGAAGCGGCCCCTTGGTGGGGAGGTTTCTGGGAAAGGCTGGTCGGTGTTACGAAAAAGTGTCTGAAAATTACACTCCATCTCTGTAGCCTGTCGCACGACGAGCTAGCGGCCACCCTATACGAACTTGCGTTCCACCTCAACATGCGACCTTTGACTACTGTCGATGATGAGCTCCTTACACCAGCGCATCTCCTCTTTGGAGTCACATCTATAAAGGGGGTTTTGACTCCCTCCACTGGCCAATGTGACTACGTCACGAGAGCTTGGCGACACCAGCGAAGAGTTAGTGAACACCTGATCAGGCGCTGGACAAGCGAATACGTGTCTGCCCTACGGGCATGGTCAGTTTCACCTCGAGGACGACCCAAGCGCATTCCAGCAATAGGTGACATAGTTCTGGTGCAGAATGAGGGTCCCCGAGGGCGCTGGCCTTTTGCACGCGTGACTGGTCTGATCGCCGGTCCTGACGGAGAGGTCCGAGCCGCTCACGTGGAGATCAGAGGCTCGAAGACACGTAGACCTTTAAGTCGACTCTTTCACTTGGAGGCTGTGACCTCAGATGAGCTCTAGACTCATCCCGCTTGGAGGCGACTTTGGTGCTCACTCTGTGAGAGTCTTTATTACTCACGAACTTAAAAACTGAATGCAAACAAAACCTAAGTTGCTCTGAACATGCCCCTTCCCCACCCTCGATGTGGCAGTGGCGAGCCTGTCCGCTCCCATGCACCCACAGGCTCTCATTAAGCGTGTCCGCTCATGACGTGGAGAGATTGACATTTCCCACGCGAGCCATTTTACCCCCAAAACCATATGTGGCTCCGTTTTCACCCATGTCTCTTTTTCGCAGACCATGAATGTCCTGGACATCTCGGAGCCTGGCGCGACAGCCTGGTTGGAGGCGCAGCTCCCGAAGCTCCATCTACTCTTGGGGGACTCTGTCGCCCGAGATTGCCAGCTGGAGAGCCGCATCCGGAGGGACGAGTTCTTTAGTCTGGCGAGGGGCGGAGACTCCTGGAGCGCTCTTCATCGGGACCTACCGGATCGCCTCAGCGAATGGGTGCGCGAGATCTCGGCGAGGGGAAGCCGGCCGGGCTCGGCAGTTGTGTGGATGACCGGCAACGATATATATAATAAGTACACCGGACTGGCCAGCTTCACTGAGGATGGTCTAATCACACTGGCCGAGTACGCCAGGGACGTCACCAGGGCCCTGCTGGACGTCGCCGAGGGAGTGGTGGTTCTGGGACCCCTCCCTCGCCTAGACGGCGAGATCAACGGAGCGAGATGGGAGCAGACCTCCGCCTTTCATCTAGAGCGTAGGCTGCTCCACGGGCTCCCGGACGAAGCACAGTTCGTGCCTCTGGGTCGGCAGCTCACCAAGAAGTGGGCCGGCCGCCACTCCTGCATCGACGACTGCGCGCGGTGGTATGCCATGGACGGCGTCCACTTGTCCGCCGACGGGTACGCCAGGCTGGCGGACATCATCCCGATCTGGCTGACGATGGGGGCAGCTGCCCTCTAAGACTCGGCGGTGGCGTGCGCGAAAGATGCGAGTGCGTCGTGCGCGAGAAGTAGTGTTTTATTTCGTCTGTGATACCTTTTAAAATGTGCTCCTGTTCCGCACATTTTGGTGGGGAGCTATGTTAAGTTCCATGTTATCGCGTTCATTTTTCATATCGCAACTGTTCCCCGCGTGTGTGTAGCCGCCCGGCCGCGGCCCGCCGGCGCGCCGGCGGGCCGTGCGGCACAGTATGTTTGCGGGCGCGCGGCCGGCGCGGTGCCCTGGCGTGCGGTAATTGGCGGTCGCTCGAATGTCACGTGACCCGCGGTGACCTCCAGTCTGTCCGTGTCTCTCGTACTCACTCGTGTCTCAGCATTCGTCTGGACCGGGTCGGTCTCAATGCGCGCTAGCCTCTGGAGTGGCACTGCACGGCTCTCCTGGCTGTAGCGCTTGTGGCCGCCGAGTGTAGGAAACGGACTTGGCGGTCCTTTCCTGAGCCTCACTCGGACAAAATTAACGCCTAACCCTCTTTGGTATCCAAATCCTGACGGGGCATTATATGATACAGATCAGACGTGTGTCTTTGATACCGTTCACGATGTATCATTAATGCACCCTTTACCTGATACAAGTATAATGTAATCGTGCCTGTCGTTACTGTGCACGTTTCACGGCGAATTTAGAGGGGCTGTCCGTAAGCCCCTCCTTGGATGTACGAGAAAAAGCAATGAGCTGTACTTGATTTGTGCCTTATCATTACTGTGCCTGGTCGTTAAATGATACGGTGACTACCTCTCAACCTGTTGGTGACGAAGCTGTTGCACCCCAATACAGCACTGAGGTCAATTATATTTCTGTTCTGTTTATACCGGCGCAAAGAACGGACGGATTCTTAACAATCTGACCTCCTATAAAGCGTTGATATAAAACGTGATCGTATCGTAATTTCCTAAAGTCTGCTCATCGATTTCATGCTCCTTACCTAATAGGCATCACCGAATTACAACCAACATACCAGTCTTTAAAAACATATGACCAGCTTTGGAGATTCGTCAAATGATCCCCTTTTAGGTTACCTATAAGATGGCCATTTGACGTATAAATGACCATCACAAGTTACAACATCCTCACCAGCTGATGATATAGCATCTGTTGATAGGATAGGATCAGGAGCCGCTCTACCAGCCGCTCCTGTAGGATCGGCGGCCGCCGGTCACCCACCGTTCCGCCGTGGTCCTCAGCAGTGTGGGCACGCTGATGGGTTTGCTGTTGGCCGTGTAGTCCTCCGGCACGCGGATTTTGACGGCGCCGCGCAGCTCGTGTGTGTACCGCAGCTCTGTCGGTATCACCTGGTCCGGACCTGTGTGCGCGCGGGGGTAACGTCACACGCAGCTCTGTCGGTATCACCTGGTCCGGACCTGTGTGCGCGCGGGGATGATGTCATAGTCAGTGCGGTGATGTACACCGGTGTTATATGAACTTCTTGTCAGTTCCTGTCAGGTGTCATATGGTGAAGGGTTTCTCTTGATGACCAGTGCACCTGCTAAGGACAGAATAGGTATTGTATTGAGACTGACGTATACAGCTGATTTTGCCAAACTATTTTAATTTTGCCTACTAATAGGATACGGGCGATGATGATATTTGAAATTAATGGATTTAATTTTCTTTGCTAAGCTACGGCAGCAAAAAATGTTACATCGAAATGGCCGGTGCTCACTGACGCTGAAGTGACGCTACAGGCCAGATTCAGTTGACATGAACCGTCTGTGCCCGGCTAAAAACACGTTAAACGTTCTTCCCTATATTTTGCCAGCTACCGAATGAGGCATGTGAGAGGTCGGAAGTTCGGAACCGGAACAATGAGCGTGCCTAGCGTGTCGCGAGCAGTGACACGAGCACGAGTGTTTACCTGCGTTACCTGTCTGTCCATCCGTCAGCCGTTCGAGATGGACGTCCCGTGTGCTCGCGCTCACTACCTGAGGTGCACTGATGGTGCTGGCTGTGCAGTGCTGGTGATGTTGGGGAGGGGGCCGGTGGGGGGTGGGGGGACTTCCCATTAGCCGACCTGATAAGGTCGTGCACGTTTATCTAAGTTTTCTCCTAGTACACACTGTCCGTGAGCTGGTATGAGGTGACACATGCGCTGCTAATAAAACCCTGATGTGTTTTGTGATTAAAAACGATATGTCCCTTCACAATAAGTTGCACTTCGGTTAACTGGTATCTGAGCAATTCTGCTGAGCACTCATAATTTTGCAAATCTGCCTTCGAGGGACTGGAAAGAGCTAAACAAAAACCGTTCGATTCAGCAGTCATTCGTGTTTTGCATATACACGTGCTCCATAACTGCATGCTGACTGCTGAGGGATATTCTCAACTGACCCGGCGTGGCCCGTTCGCCGTGCGTCACTGTGACCCCTGTGACGTCATAAGTTTTTGCCGAGCTGGCGATCTGGTGGTCCCGCCTGCACTGCTCACCCGGCAGGGCATGCTCGGAATAAACAGCCGTATTGCGTAGCCGAGTGTCCGCGGTGTGGGCAGACTCTCAGCGAATGTTGATGCTATCCTGGTCCGTGCGCGGACTCAGGCTGCGAGTGAGTTCCACCGATGCAGCTGGGCTGCGTGATGCCTCAAGCGGGAGTAGTGTGTAATTTTGTCGTGATGATGACCTTTTAATTGGGGTCAAAACAAGGGCATGGAGGGGTGCATGCATTCGCATAGTTGTGGAACACTGCAATGCAAGAACATGTAAGGGAAATTGGTAAACATATTTGTACTTACCATTATTGTATTTGACTTCGGTCATCTTTACGCCTGATCTGAAAGCAAAAAAAAAAAAAAGAGAGAAGGAAATTAAAAACAGGTCTCCCGAGCCGGCCACAGTCCCAGTCGCGTCACGTGCACGTCTCTCCGGCCGGGCCCCTCGGTACATACCCTACCGTACACAGACCCACCCCTGCCCCGCCCACTGTCGTTTGACCGTGCGACCATCCCTCAGAGGACCGACTGCGCGGGACGCGCCGCGGGCAAGATCAGGCCGCCTGCCGACCTCAGGCACACACACACTGCACTGCTGTCGGTCGGTCGTGGGGATTTCGTGGGTTTGTTATTGTGGTTTGCTGTGGAGCTGGGGAGGTAATGAACCGTCACTGATCTGCGTCTGCTGAGCGTTGTGCGTGGTTGGATGTGGGAGCGGTTTCGTGTATGGTTGGATGGGCACGGGATAGGATACTGTGAGTCGGTGTTTTGAATGAAGCGGTGCTATTTCCTGACTCAGCTTGTATGCTATTTTCCCGCATACCTACCAAATCGCCCTTTTAGGACGCTATGTATCTGGCTTAACGAGTAAAAAATGTAAGGCATTATGCTTGATAAACATATAAATCTTGAGTGCCAGCAAACCCGCTTACCAGAAAAAGACTTGAGTATAACAGGGCACAGCCACGGATGGTCAATGTTTACGGTATGTGTAAAAAGCGCTACAAGTAACCATTCCATCGTTGTTTGACCCTGTTTGTAGTATCTGAACTATCTGATGCTTACATTTAGACTCAGTCGCATTTGCTTCCACAAATGGGCTAAACTCATGATTCCTTCCATTTGCCAATTAGGGAATGCCTTTTAATAGCAAAGCAAAGGTGTGCGTCGTATTAACAGCTACTGCTGGTATAAAAAAGAAAAAAAAATATGAATGCCGGATGAATGAAATGAGTGCTTATGATTGCTTAGTCTTCATTGAAGGCCTCGTGTCTGGTGTATCAAGTGGACGCACCGAGGACATTGATAGAGCAGACATCATGTCGTCTGTCTGTGTGTCTGTCTGTCTGTTGTCGCGCTCTCAGGAAGCTCGTCCGATCCACATAACGAGGCCCACTTGACACGGTTTGGTGTGTGTGTCCGCCGATAGTGTGTGGGGCCGGAGGATGATTCGGAATTTCCTTCTCCGCCGATAGTGGGCAGATTATGTCCGGTGGGACTGTCACCGGGCCGGGCTGACAGATTGGGTCTGTATCTACATCATAGGGAGACGGTGTGGACTGTCACATGGAAACGCTGGCACTGTCACATGGAGACAGTATCACTGCCACTGGATGTGCAGACTAAGTTTGACACAAGGAGACAGCGTGGTAGCAGCAGCACCGGCAGATTTAGTCCCTCTTACATGAACGGGAGACGGATTGCTGCATGTTGGAAGCCGACGTATCGCCAGCTGTTGCATATTTTGCTAGACATACCAGTATGCCGTAACATACCGTCTGTACAGTAGCGGCGGAACACCTTCAATTAAGGGGGGGGGGCACTGCCGACTTTTGGTCCCATTCTTTCCATGCAACGCCCATAGGGCTAATGTTAAAATGCCAAAATCAAAGGGGGCACGGTGCCCCGGTGCCCTCCCCGTTCCGCCGCTTATGCGTCTGTATACCAAAATACCGTAACATACCGTAATTTACCAAAATACCGTAACATAGAGTACCTACTAAATACCATTTATATACCGTAATATAACAAAGTACCATAACATGCCGTAATATTTCGTGAATAATATATCGCAATATACCAAAATACCATAATATACCGTTGTATAAGCGAATAACGTACCGTCACATATAACCAAAGTCATACAAAAGTGTCATATAGGTACCGATGGCGTATCCAACACCTATGATGAATGTTGTTTGTCTTTATGTGTCTATATTTTCGAAATTGTGTCTACATTGGTTTCCCAATTGGACATTGGGAAAATTCCGGACGATTTTCGTAATTCTTTGTACATATGCAAGTTCACGATAAGCTGAAATGCGTTGAACGATCAACTACATCTTTGGGAATTTTGATTTTTGTTGGCACCCTTAGCTAGAAACAATAAAGTTAGCAAAAAAAGAAAGAAAGAAAAAAATGACCAGCTCCACTGCCTTTTGGGGTTGGTCTTTTTGGGGGAGGCACATTTGTTGTTCCGACAAAATTCGCTCAAGAGGACTAAATCAACGTTAAGTAACATTGTTTTTTTGCCAGCCATTGGTGGCCAATCTAAGTTCTCAGCCTCATAATCCTCTCATAGCGCGGCGTAACACTGTGTTTAGTGCTAATAATAATAAATATATGTAAAAGTATTGCATAGCCGCTTCACTGCAGTGTGATGAGACCCAGATCACAGATGAAAAGCATATCCGCTAATGTCAACACCGCGCCCGCCCGCCGCCCACTGGATACGCTGAACATGGTGCATAACTGCATAACTGCATGGTGTCTCGGAGTCTCTCTGCCCCCTCCGCGCCTCAGAAGTATCGATGAATTGGGCCCTATTTCAGCAGGTCGCCTGTATGGTGGGCGGGTCACGGGAATGCTAACAGCTGCGGTCTCAGAGGGAGCTCCCAGCGTCACGCGCCGGACAGACACCGCCTTATCAGATTGTCTGAGCGGTGTTGCAATGTTTGGTGTTCAATATGTAGAAAGGATCCATATGAGTAAGGCTGAATGCGTTCTAATTATTTGCCTACTTGCTTTGACCGAGGTATAACGGATTGTGTCTTATCTAGAGAAGTTTACCTTGTGACCATGCGGATGAAAATGGCGTCGTTTAGGTCTATTACCATTGCCTACCTATGCCATACACAATGCACATTGCACGTTGCACATGTATTGAGGTTCGTCCTCAACCTCCATGCTTTAGGTGTGCCGTGTGGCTTAGGTATAGCAAGTTTGTCTTTTCCTATCGTCATTTGCAGAACACCAACCTCTCATTGATTACGACCAGACCACCGCTTCATACTGGATTCTCTCTTATGCGTAGTCGTAGTAAGACGTAGTAGTAACTAGTAAGACATTGGAAAATACTACTACTAGACTAGTAGGTATGCGTAGTAAGACATTGGAAAAAATCAGAGTCCTGGTCAGTGCCTAGCTTGGTATGCAGGTACAGTCCACAGCAGAAGTAATGTGGGGTTTCAGTCATGGGTAATGGTATGTTCTGCTTCTGAAGCTTAGGAACGATTAGCCAGACTACAATGAAACTTTGAATGTAGCTTATATGTATCGTCACCCTTGCAGCTGCAACTTTAGCTATTGACATCTTCTTTTCGATCACTCCGTATTAAACAATCGCCAGTCAAAGCCGACCGTTGAGATTGGTAAAACCCTACATTACTTTAGCGGTGGGCTCTGTACCTATCAGACACATGCACATCTCCCCTACCCTCACTTCCCCACACAACCCTCTGTTTCCCACCAGCCGAGCTTCGAAGACTACACCAGCATTCCCAATCTCACCACAACCATTTGTTCAGCTCACCTGCTCTGTCCCGTGCAGCTCAGCCGCTCCGCTCTACCCGCTCAACCCCTCTCCTTCCGAGCTGCTCTCCTTCCTCTGCCGAACTGCTCCCCGCTCTGCCGAGCTGCTCTCCCCGCTCCGCCGAGCTGCTCTCTCCGCGCGCGCACCACGCGAATGGAGCGGCTCGGCGGCTGGGCGCTGGGCAGCGGCGCTGTCTCGGTACAGAGTCGGGTCAGCTGACACGGCAGGATAGCCGGCCGGCGGGCACCGGCGTCCTCAGTGGCCTACGGCACTGCTAGTGCTGCCGCTGCTGCACCGGCTGTCACGATCGCAGGCTGACACGAACACTGAAAGAGAGTGCGGAGAGGCGCCCCGGGAGCCGCCTCTCAGCTGTGGCCTCAGCGGAACTTAATGCACTGCACTGGGATGATTCGTTCACCCGCGCACGGGTGGGCCTCTCAGCCAACTTGGCTATGATGTGTGTGTGTGGGGGGAGGGGGGCGGGTCATATATTTCTCAAACTCTTTCTTTTCAGGCTTAGATTCAAAGCGGATTAGGTTTTATTGTCAGTTAATCCCTTATTTTCATTTTCATGCAGTGTCTTACTATACTGGATTAGCTAATCCACTTTTACTGATATGGATCACAGGTGCCCATGGAAACCGGGCTATAGGTGAGATCTTCCAGAATCGCAAAGGTCATTTTTAGTCCAGTTCATCATTGAGGTCACTGGAGGACTAACGGTCACCAAAAGTAAAATTATCACGAATTTTCGTTCCCGATTTTGACAACTTTTCACATCGGCACATAAGTCGGAAACCAATTAAGAGCTGCAGCGCCGCAGCAAAGCGCATTCGATAGCTCTTTCAGAGCTCTTTCTTAGCAATGCTCTTAGATTTGACCCAAGGTCAACGGTTTAGCCTCTAGAGGCCAAAAACTCACAATTTGACGTTTTTGCGGAAAGCGTTTTTCTGTAATACGTTCCCACACCAAGTTTGTATTTCTCTGGTTTTACCGGCATAGCGTTTCTCTCGTCGATACGTATCGAATTTGAAATTTAAGTTGACCTGGATAGGTCAGCTTACAAATTTGACCTCAGATCAAGGTCAGGGTCATGTTGCACATAAGTCGATTTGTATTGTTCAGTTGAACGCATCCATAGTGTTTTCAGCGCTCTAGCATGCTTCCACCTAAACTTAATTGTTAAAAAAACTGTTTAAGACGTTTCATGACCTGAGATGACCTCAGGAGCATAAAGGGGGTCACACAGGCGCGATTTTCTGATTCAGCGTGTCATTTTTACTTATATCCCGATGTTTGAGAGTGTTTTTGCTCAAAATCAGAGCATTTTAATTTTCTCCTATCGACTTACAATGGAGAAGTCGCAAAACTGACCTGACCTTAGGTCACCGATATCACAATCCCGAGATATGAGATAAGCAGCTTGTTGGTACTGATTCCCTCATGCAACTCCCGAGTTTCAGCTCCTAGGATGTAAGCTGCAGGAATGACAGAATCACACAGTTTTTAGAGACGTGGTCACTTACGTGACCTGGTGACCTGGCCTTATGTGACCTGGGGTCAAAAATTTTACACACGATGCGAAGTCGATGTATCATGAGCTGTGTATACCTACAAGGTTTTGCGGCGCTGCACGCCACGGTTTTCTTTGCACACCCAAACAACTTTCAGGTGCTTTTTTATTTATGAACTTGTTGTGTATCCATATTCTGTCTCCGAAATGACGATATTATTGAAATTTCGAACAATTTAAGTACAAACCCATATCTAACATCAAAATGTAACCCTCGCCTTGCCTATTGTTTTTCCACACGAGGCTGGGTGAAGGGGGAGACACCCTCGGTGTTTCGCCTCTGCTTGAGTTACAAAAAAAAACGAGCATAATGTGGTTACGAGAAGCAGTGACTGATGTCGAATTTCAAGGCCTCAGGTCAATCTGGGACCTCTGAGGTCACGTCAAAGCCCCTAAGAAAGGGTCTGGTTTTGGTAAATAACTTCGCCAAAAATAAATGGTCACAAAGTGACGATTTGGTACAATCACATTGTTAGAACATTGTTGACCTTCGTGCAATTTTATTTGCTTTTTACTGTTTTTATTTCTTAGCTGTAGGTTCTGGGCCCCAGGTTTGTTTTTCTCGCCGCCTAGCAAAGTTCTTATATTTGATCTATTAATAAAGTTAAACGGTTCCGTCAGTCTTACATCTCTTCGAAATGTTCAGAACATCTTGTTTGTGATGATTGACGACTAACTTCGAATGCCTCGTCGACAGCCACATTCAATGACCTCACATGGTTGAGCGTCCGTCATTCAATACAAGAACTTAAACGATCCAGTCACCAGCCGAGCATGGCAGCAGCGGCTGAACCTTGACCGCCGATCTCGCGACTGTAGTATCCTCGCGACGTACTTTTCCATTTGATGACCCAGAATCCAGTTGCCAGGAATACATATTGCGATCTATGAATATCATGTGAATTGCACCTAAAGCGTGTTCTTTTGTTTCTTTCTGCTTGACGCACATACCACACCACATATTCACCACGCCTAAACATCTCATCAGAAACAAATAGTTTTATTAAGCAAAATAACTAGTGGAATCCTCAAAAAATGGTTATAAAAGGGCAATACAGCACTCAAGCCATCGTCAGAGATATACCGTTGCTCATGTATCACCCCTTTGTCTACATTCGACCATGAAACAAGCAATGAAAACAAGATTCACGAACACTTGATGATTTAGGTGTTTTGGTATGAATCGATAAGAAACAAACACTCATAATATATAAACAAAATATAAGGTCGCAAATTAACAAATATCAAGCATGATTAGGAAACAGATGATCGTCAAATGTCATGATTAGAGTAGCGCAAACATATCGAGCATACATATACTTTTTGTAACAGTTGACCGTTTTACGTGAAACGTTAAAATGCTCTTGACGCAAGATTCGGAAAGAACATCCATTCGAGGAGTCGGGGCCTCATGCGTTTCAGCTGAGATCTGGAGCATGAGTGTGATGTTGATTTGACTCCGATCTCCCGAAACTTAACCTGATTGGGTTGAGCTTTTAGCGAAGCTTTTTGAACAGTCATGCTTTCCCAGGTTCAGAACTGAGCTGCGCTTTATCAGCACGGTTTCTGTCGAAGCCTTTTGTTGGGTTACCTACCTATGATCCCTTCCAGTTTGCTACTGGCGATTTAGTTGGCCTCTGTGTCAGTCTCTCAGTCATTCCATTCCGTTTGCCATTCTCGCTGTTTCGCTCCATTCATGTCCCCCGATCACACACAGCCCCCCGCCGAGTGGCCACTGGCCGACACCCGGCGGTCACCATTCTGCCGAGCGTCCCGCGCCGGGGCGGCCGCGGCGGCCCCGGCCGGCCACAGTCTATCACAGGCCAGTTACGTCACTGTGAGCCACGTCACGTCACAGATCGCGTCACGTCACGTCTCAGTTTCTGCGCCGTGAGCTGCGCACGGTTGCGGCCGCCGTCGGCGCCGGCTGCGACGACGGCGTCGACTGCGGCGGCACCTCCGTCGGCTGCGCGCTGGCGGCGCTCTGCTGCTGCTGGACGATCTGCTGCTGTTGCTGCTGCTGCTGCAGCCGGGAGAGGAACGAGTACTCCCTGCCGTTGACGAGTCCGCGCAGCACGCAGGCCGACAGCGCCGACCGGTTGACGTTCATGCTGGTCACGTCCTCCCACTGGTCGCGCTGCTCGTCGTAGCACTCCACGTCCGGGATGGTGGTGGAGCCTGTTGAACGGCGAGAACGTAGAGACCGTAGGGTTACATGACTGCCGTAAATTTGATTCCTATTCAGGTGGGACGTTCGACGTTGAATGTGCGTCCTTAACGACATGAATAGCGGATAGTACGTAAAGTATCAATATTGCGATACAAAAATGCTAAATAGGTCAAGTCTCACTCGTTTGAGTTCTGAGCTAAGGGATTACAAGTCCGTCCTACCGCAACAAGATTATTTGCATTGTCCAAGGGTGCTTTGTGCACTCTGCCACATCACAAAGTAAACATTTTGTAAAGGTCAAAACGAGTACGCGAGCGCTTGCCGATAAACATTCTGCTAGCGCACCGACCGATCACATTAATCTACATAAACACCATCTGGATTGTGCCGGAATCTGCTGAGCACATTTACAAAGTTCAGTCAACGTGATGTCACTTTTTAATTCTCAGCTGCTTACCGTTGAATCCACCGATGACGTAGATGCTGCCGTCCAGCACCGTCGAGGCGAAGTTGCTCCGCGGGCTGAACATGTTCCTCACGTTCACCCAGCCTCCGCCGTGTCCCAGAGTAAAGCGCTCGCCTGCAGACAACAGGCGTGAACATAACGCTGGAATGTTTTGTATTGAGCCCATTCTGTTAGGAGTGGGATGCCCCGGTGAGCCAGGCGCCTGAGGTCACCTAGCTCGGTCATCCTGGAGAGAATCTTCTTACCCACTGGAGCTGCCCTCACCAGCTGCCTGGGGGGGGGGGGGGGGTTGACCGCCGGCCCGGGATTAGGGATGAGGTAAGGTTCGTCCTGGGCATAACAATGACAGATACGATGCTTTTTTGGGGTCGAGTCTGCTAACCAGCCCGTGGGCCCAGTGTTATCGAGATCGGTACGGCGCTGCCAGCGTCCTCTGCAGCTCGGTCAGCCCCTCGGCGCGCCACCTACCGGAGCGCAGGCGTCGGGCGCCGTCGAAGCCACCGAGGGCGTACAGCGAGTCGTTGTAGGCCACCAGCGAGACGCCGCTGCGGGGGCTGTTCATGGCCACGGCGAAACTCCACGTGTTCTCGGCCGGGTCGAACACCTCGACGCTGTTGAGCACCTCCTGGCCGTCGAAGCCGCCGACGACGTACACCTGCCGGCAACGTGAACACGGACGGCGGTAAACACAGAGTGATGAAATGCAAGCACCTCAGTACGTCTGCTTTGTACCGTGGATTGCAGTTTTCATGAATTTTCCTGTGGGAAATGATGTCATGAACAATCAACGAGCTCTATCGGTCTCTTGTTTTTGCTGTATTAAGCGAATATCTTTGCATTAAACGAAATCGATTGGTCCGCGATCTCCCAATTCACCTTGATAACTCTGACAATAACTTACGAATCCCATTTTATTTTAACCTTACCAGGCCACATATGCAAATCCGATTCCCCTTTCAATCATCAGGACCAGTTATCCTCACCTTTGGTCAGTATGGTCAAACACCCCTGATTCGGACTGAGGGACCGGGTCGCCCCCAAATTTCCGACAAAGTCTGCGGGGGACCGTTTGAGCGGCATAGGGGCATTAACTGGCACGCCCGTCCCAACAGTATGGGAAAAATAGAATCAAAAGTATGATGTTAAAATTTTGATTGCCCGCCATCGCTGTAGTCGGGCCGTTGCCTCTCTTTCATTCAGGTCAGGTCTTTCTATTTACCGATGTGGGGCAGCGGCAGC